GCTGAAGGTACCTTAGTGAACTGCCCATGCAGTGCGGTTCCCAGGTGTTAACTTATTCTTAAGGGAGCTGCTTCATCACCTGTTCGTGACCTGCTCAGCTACTGCTGAGCTGCTACTCCTACTTCCCTGGCCTGAGCATGGCAACAAAGTGTGAAATCAGGTTGGGTGTTTTAAAGGAAAAGACTTACAGAAAGAAAAAAAAAAACAAACAGTAAAAAACTGATCACCTGTTTCAACTGGGTTTTTTGTATCCAAGTGGACTTAACCCTAAAAAATGAGAACTGGGAAAGGGAAATTGAAGGAATGACAGAACTGTTTATTTTCCTTCTTGCTAAGTTTGTGACATGTAATAATTTAATGAAAGGCTTCAATGACAGCAGTAATGAACTTTGGGAAATTTCACTGACTTTGGACTGAGACACCTTCACTGGCATTAGATTCTGTTTGGGAGCTAACACTTTTGTGTTTGAAAAACACAGAAAAGCTTCATATATGAAGCGAAGGACTTCCAAGTGAAACATTAACATTTCCCATTTAAAAAAACACCTTTGTTGGTTTGTTGTAAATTGGTTACAGGTTTTTGTAGTATCTTGTGAGTAGGTGAATTTTAGTTCTAACTTAACCAGCCACTGTTCACTTCACTAGTAAACCAGAGAAGAAAAAATATCTGGGGGATAAAGAGACAGATTCTGACTTTGAAAAGCTAGGACCAGATAGAATACTTGCATCTTTTTAAAGCTTCCTGTGTATATACCAAAGGAGTGATATGCTGTACTAGGAAGGTACTTACTGAGTACATTAAATGTGTTGACAAATCTGTGCTTTGTACCAGTTTACTGAAACAACACACAGGTTTACCATAGTCTTGTGAGTGCTATGGGACCGGAAGCCTGCACTGCACAAACTGTCTGCTAATGGGAAAGCTAAAACTCCCCATCAGTCATCACCCGCTTGGTCTCCTCCTCAGGTGAATCTTTCCTGAAGGGACCTCCCTGCCCTGGACAGCAGGGAGCACACTGCCAGCCCTGCCTGCACTGCGGTACTCACCAGCACTGCTGGGCCAGGCAGGGGTCCCTGCAACCCAGCTGGCACAGCTGGGCTGACTGGTGTCTGCTGCATAGATATAAGTCCCTAGAAATCTTCTGAGTGCACAGTCTCACTCGAGAGCACCTTGTTTTGTCTTGCTTTATAGTCATTCCCATTTGATCCTACTAGCTGTGAGCATCCACGTGATGGGTTTTGATGTAGTTCAGCTTTCTCCTGTCACTGTTGGCAAAGCAGTTGCGTGTACCAAGTAACACAATTGGATATAAAGCCAGCATGTTGGTCAGAGTTTTTTTATAGGTGTTCTGCATTGCTTCTTAGGAACTGCTAACCTGCTGCGAGGAGGGCAAAGGGGAACTCAAAGATGGTCTGGAAGTGATGCTCAGTGTCCCAAAGAAGGCCAATGACGCAATGCACGTCAGCATGCTGGAAGGTATCAGATGAGCAGGTGGCCGGGGCAGGGGAGGGACCCGCTGATAAATGAAGCCTCCTTGTAACTTGTGTAGAAAGTTAGTATAGGTTGACTGTAGCAATACTGTTGATTGATCATAATTTTCAGGTACTTCCTAGCTCCTTTCTGGTATTTCTCCAAAAGTCTTGGAAGAATAAAGCTGGCTAAGAAGTTTTGGGGTTTTATTTATTTATATCTTATGTGTGTGTATATATGTATTTATATGTGTATATATGTGTACATACACATATGTGTATGTACACATACACAATGTGTATATATATTTGGTTAAAACATTCTTACTTAA